CACATACACATATGTAGCCTGTCTATATGCATATGTATACATAACAAGCCAGTTAGCAGCATTTGCTGCATATTTAAAAAAAGAATTGCAGCAAAAAAAAAAAAAAGTTAAGAAAGGAAAATTATAAAAAAATGCGTATTGCATTTCATTTTGATCGGTGTGTGTATTTAAAAAACAAAAAATAAAAATAAATTAATGACATTACGAAAACACGAGAAATGCGAGAAAACTATTCCATTGATTGCATGGAAAAACTTCTTATATTGAATGGCAAATAGCATTAACAGAGTAATCGATGCAAAAATAAAAAGTATTCATCAATAAATATTAATTTGAAACGCAAATTTACCAATTGTCTTTTTTATTTTGGCCTCAATAATATATATATATATATATACCCTATGGACTGCGTTTTATTCTCGCCTATTTAGCCAAACTATTTGGAGCAGCTAGGATATTCAGTCCAACTACAAATACTCTGCTGGCATTGAGTCGCAAACAGATTCCAAGGGTCAAAATCGGCTTATGAACAACTTGCCGCGAACATAATGTTAAGTTCTCAACAATTTCTAGGTGACTCTTAAGATTGGTTGTATTATTTTCGAATGTTTTTTTTTATACCCTGAACCCATTAAAAATGGGTAAAAAGGGTATATTGTATTTGTGCAAAATGCAAATGTATGTAAAAAGCAGAAGAAAGCATCTCCGACCCCATAAAGTATATATATTCTTGATCAGCATCAATAGCCGAGTCGATCTAGTCATGTCCGTCTGTCCGTCCGTCCGTCCGTATGCATGAACGCAAGGATCTCAGAACCTATAAGAGCTAGAGACTGCAATTTTAGCTGTAGATCCTCCTAGTGTCTACACAGATCGAGTTTGTTTCTGATATTCGATAACTTGCCCCGTTTCAAAGTTATCGATAAAATTCGATATCTAAATCGTGTTTTTTGAGCAATTTTGGTAAATAATAAGAGCTAGAGTCACCAAATTGATATGTTGCTTATAGACTAGCATATATATATCAAATATCTTTCATTTTATACCTATCGCCACCGCAGAACTATAAATCAAGAACTATAAATCAACAAATGTAAACCACAATTTTAATGCAATTGACTTTTTGAGAATACGCAAATATTCTATGGTACAATAAGATATACTGTAAAACATTTTATGAAGATCGGTTAAGAAATACACAAAACAAAATGTGTTTTTGCTGCCCACGTGCTTGCGGCAGCTATCGCAAATTCCAAGTATTTCTGTACACATGTACACACACACATTCATGCGCGTCTGCTTCGAATTCTAACAACAGCATTGCAATTGCGATGTTTTTTTCTCAGTTGTCAGTTGCGAGTTGGAATCCTGCCAAGGTAATTTTTTTTTTTTAATTTATCTTTATTACTTCAAACGAGCATTTGGTGTTGGAATAAGAGGGTTCAGGGTATTCCCTAGTCGGGATCAAATAGGCATATATATTATTAAGTGTACGATATGGCTTTGTACGTCTGTCTATTTAATATATATGATATAAGTATATAAATATATTTATATGCATATATATTTACTTTATAGGATCAGAGGCGTTTTCTGCTATAAGTGGCACAATTTGTGTTTTAAAATACTTGACATGGGATTAGAAATAGAAATAATAATAAGAAAAAGACATTGTTGTTTTTCGTTTCTTTATTATGCTCAATTTTTGCTTTGACTTTTGTGTATATATTTTTCTGTTACGCATGCGATTATATATCATTTACTTTGTTGTTGTTTTTGGTATTTTGTATTTGTTTTTGTTTTTGTATTTGGTTTAATGCGCCTTTACAAATAATCATCATTGCTCCTTATATAATTTCTATGCAATTTATTTAATAAATACGTCCATATATACTCATGAATTTGATGCATACACATACATATGTATATATATATATATATGTATAAATAATTTACACCACAAAAAAAAGGTTAAACAATTATTTCTCTTATATATTTGTTTTCTTCATTTCGCTTTCTTTTATATTTTCTGTAATGTTTTGTTATAATGTTTTTTTTTTTTCTCTTTTTTCTTTTCTTACTTTTTTTATACTTTGTTTTTGCTTTGCATGGCTTTTAGTGCTGATCCAATGTTGGTGCTGGGGCCCATTGCTGGATGTGCCTTGGGCGGCTGAAGCGGTCATTTATTTTGTTGTTTATTCATTAGAGATTTGCCTGCTATTATTATCATATTTATCATATTTGGTTTTGTATTTGTATTGGTGGGCGTGGGCGTGGCCAGTGGCGCCCCCGACTACCGGATCAAGCCAAAATGCAAGCAATTCACATGAAAATTTGTCTATATATTAAGCACATTGTTGTCATAATGAATTACGAGTAATGCATTACAAGTTATTGATAATTCATTAATTTTCCTTAATTTTTTTTTTTGTTTTTTTGCCATGCGAGTATTTTACAACGAAATGCATATGCCTGTGTGTGTGTATGTATATATATGCATATATGTATGTCTGCTAGGCTTTAATGTTTTAGGTATAGGTAGTATCTATATATTATGTAAGTATATATATATATATATATATATATCGGTATATATGTATGTATAGTAAAGCATTTGCTTTGGTTTTACATTTTTCTCATTCTATCAACTTGTTTAACGAGTAGTAGCACAATTTTTGGACGAAGATGTTTATTGAAATCGAAGCGTTTAGTGTGTCAGTTTGTGTGTGAGTGTGTGTGAGTGTGTGTTGTTCTAGTAAGCTGACTTGAAGCATTCTTCTGCAATCAAGACAAAACTGTTACAAAGTTACAAAATAAACAGGAGAAGCCATTTGCCTAACTCAGGATATCTGGGAAAATATATATTACTAAAAGCACATCTTAATTTACATAGAGTGTAAGTATGTTTATATAAATACATACTTTATCTCATATGATATCTACACAAAAGTGGACGTGGACAGTACAGCTTGACATGCGTTTACAATTTCAATTTGTGATAGGGTGAAAGGTGGCGGGTCGGGGGAAGGGGCTTAGCACCCAAAACTTGATATATACATTAAAGTTTTATATATTTTCAAATACGTATATGTGTTCTTCAAAAAGAAAGCAATATATAAATATATATAGATATATATATATATATATATATATATGTATATGTATATAAATTTATAACTAAAACCTAGTGTAACTTGTATGTTCTTGTGGATTTTGTTGGAATTTTTGATTATAACTTGAAATTATATGTTATTTATGTAGAATATTGCTAATGAACATATTTGTTTAGTTTTTAAGCTTCGATGGCAACGTAAAAGACTTCAATTTTTGTATACAATGTAAAAAATAAACGCACAAACATGTAGATAGAATGCAAAACACACACAAAGCTTAATATATTGTACGCAATAATTCATCCTAGTTTAAATTTAAGTGAGAAAAGTATTAAATAATTGTTTGCGCTAAGTAATACAAACAAGAGTTTTTTTGATTGGGAGGGTTCACTTGCGCAGATCCATGGAACAGAATGCCATCAGTTTTCGGAAAAGTCATTTTTCGTAAAAACCCGTATATGTTTTATCAATTAGAATGCGCCGGGCAATCGATAGTCGGCATCCGCACGAGTAGAAAGAGGCATATCACTCCGTAATCGGAATGTATTTAGCCGAGTTATTGGAATTTTAGTATTTAATCAAATTTTGCTGAAATGTGTTAATGTGAATGGCTATTTTCATGAGCTGACTAAAAGTATGCTGTAGAAGAGCTATTTTAATAGGCTCAAGCGTTTTGTGCGAACAGCACGAAAGTATGCAATGCTTTGCATTACTTCTATGTCCACAATCACATGAATTTTATTGAAAAACTTGAAATGGCCATATCTAGGCCAAATAAAGCCCGATTAAGGCCAAAAAGGGAGGGTTAAGTCATGGAGGACCATAGAATAGATTGGCATCACATTCATTGATTTCAGAAAAAAAAGTCATTTTTCGAAAAAAACGTGATGGTTACACTGTATTTCTGGTCATTTTGGGTCATCTCTCAGAATGCGGATTTTTGGGTGGCAATCGATTGTCGGAATCTGTACGAGTAGAATGAGGCATATCACTCCGAAATCGGACTGTATTTAGCCGAGCTATTGACATTTCAATATGTAATGAAAATTTCTGCAACATGTATATTGTGAATGGTTTTTTACATGCGCGACCTAAAAGTATGCTGTAGAAAAGCTATTTTAATAGGCCCAAGCGTTTTGTGCGAACAGCACGAAAGTATGCAATGCTTTGCATTACTTCTATGTCCACAATCACATGAATTTTATTGAAAAACTTGAAATGGCCATATCTTGGCAAAATAAAGCCCGATTAAGGCCAAAAAGGGAGGGTTAAGTCATGGAGGACCATAGAATAGATTGGCATCACATTTATTGATTTCAGAAAAAAAAGTCATTTTTCGAAAAAAACGTGATATAGCAGTCGATAAAAGAGATCAGTACAAGTTCAAAAAGGCATATCTTTCTAAAATCTGACTGTATTTAGCCGAGTTATTTCCATTTTAATATTTAACCAATTTTTCTGCAAAGTGTATATTGTGAATGTTTTTTTTATATGCGCGCACCAAAAGTATATATACATATATGAGTGTGTGTGTTTGTGTTTGCGGGTGCTATAAAAAAGCAATACATATGCATGTATGAGAGGGATTTACTTGTGCATGTTCTTCATCTTTACACATTTATTTATGGGTATATATATATATATATAATGTATAAGCATATATGGTATTTGTAGAGGAAAAGGAGTGCGTGGTTGGGGATGCAGTTGGCAAAGGGCATTGTAATCGTAACTATCTTTATATTCACTAATTGTGTCTGTAAGCTGTTCAACTAAGCTAAGGACGTTTTCGCAAAAAGGTCATCGTGTATATATAGATATATAAAGATATATACATAGATATATCTATATCTATATATATATTTATATATATGCATATATGTAGATATATAATATGTGTATATATATGTTTTTACCCGAACAATCGCAACGGAGTCGCAGCAGCTCTCCCCTCACATTATTAACTATTAGTTCTAAGTTTTGCAAAAAGGCTTGTAATTTCTGTCATTTCTTTTCTTTACTTTTGGTTTTTCTTCTTTTTGTTTATAGTTTTCTTTGTTATATTTTTTGGTTGCAGTTTGGAACAAAAGGTTTACGCTTGTTATTTGTCATAGCTTCCACATACTCTTCTATACTCTTCCGTTCTGTTATATCTTTATTCTATAGTAGTCACAAAAAAAAAAAAAAAACAACACACACAATCGATAGCTAAATTAGAACGTTTTCTATGCATTATGTAAGTATCAGCGTTATATCAAACTAAGTCTATACAGATACGCATATTCATACACATTAATATATGCATTATATCATTAGAATTCTGCCTAATACACACGCGCTCTTCATTACCTATCGTCTATTGATAGATATCGCTTAAATATATATGGGGTTTTCCTGGCCGGTTAGCAAGCGGAACATTGAAGTGGGCATTGTTTTCATGAGTATCTGTAAGTGATAGAAGGGGGATTAGTTTTTGACCTTTGATTAGCTTTAACGTGCTTGCGCTTACCTCGCCCACCGATGTCGCCAGCAAATTGACGATCTTCTCGTGCGGCACAGCCACAACGCTCTGGTTGTTGATCTCAATGATCCGATGACCAACCCGAACGCCACCCCGCTCCGCAATGCCTCCACGCAACAGGCTGCAGATCTGAAAGATAGATATCGTAGATTAATCCCACTACTATATTATCTGTTCACATTTTTCACATAAGGTTACACACTTGTTAAATGAATTTTAATATAAATCTTTAAAATTATATTTTATACAATCGGATAAAAAATAAGAGACAACACTTTGCCAACCATTTTTAGACTTGTGTGTAGAGTTTAACATTCTCCATTTTTAGCCCTTGAAGAAATTTTTATATATTCAGATGTTTCTCATACTATCGGTTAAAAAACATAAAGATACGATGTATCAGTCTTCCCGCTTTCTTTTCACCCTTGTGGATATATTCTGATATCCTTCCACCTTTAAAGAAGCCTATTGTACTCGTCCTAGCTCTTACGGGTTGGACTGATGGGTTGTGCCTTCGACATCAATCAGTCAGCTATTTAAAAAGTTTGTCAGACAGTCAGTCGAATGGTCAGTTAGTTGGTCAGGCATTCAGTCAGTCTTGCAGTCAATCAGTTAGTCAATTAGTAGTTTTGTCAATTCCTCAGCCAGTCAGTCAATCAGACATTCAATCATCCCGTCAATCATTTAATCAATTTGTCAGTCAGTTCGTTTATCAGACAGTCAGTCAGCCCGTCAGTCAGTTAATAAATCAGTCAGTCAGTCGTTTAGTTAATCCTTCAGTCATGCAGTCAATCTGTCAGTAATCTTGTCATACGGTCAATCAATCAGTACGTCGGACAGTCAATCAGCCCGTCAGTCAGTTAATTTATCAGTCAGTCTATCAATCAAATGCATTTCACACTTACCACGCCATTTTGGACACTGAATCCAAGTTGATATTTGGTCTCTGGCCGCTTGATCTTAACCTCGACGACGGGCGCACAGGGTACAACTGTGAACTTGACCACGGTTTGGTTTTTGGTGTTTTTGATGTACGTCTGGCAGGTGGAGAGCGGCAAACCGACTAGGCTCAGTCCATTGATGGCGATCAGCTGATCGCCAATATTCAATTGGCCGCAACGCGCCGCCGCGCCAGAACTCATGAGGTTCGCAATGACGACCGTCGGCAGCATTGAGCCCCAGCCACTTTCGACAATGACCACGCCGAGTATTTCGCCCTTGGCCTTGGGTACAACGACCTCCTTTTGCAGCTCCTTCTTGGCAAAGATTTCGAGCTCATCGCCAAAGATCTCTTGGCTATTGAGCACTTCCTGGTAGTCCATTTCCTTGACAAAGCGATGATCCTCGATGCCATTGGCCTTAAGGAACTCCATGTACGCCACCTGAAAGGCCTGTCCAATCGACTGTGCAATAAACTGCGCCTCATCGCTCTCGAACACGTGACAGATCATCTTGGGCGTGCGGTTCGGCTTGGGTGCATCATCAATGTCCTGGGGCACGAAACGGCGACGCGCCATCAGCACGACCAGATCCCCGATGTCGGCTATATATGAGATAGTGCGGAGCGCATGATCCATCATGATCTCCTTCAGATCGGTGTTCAGCACCATTATCTTCTCCGTCGATATAAACAGATCCACCTCCGTGCTGGGCTGTACATCGCCATCGGGTGCCTGTTTATGACAATTAAATAATTTAATGATCTATATCTATATCCATAAATAATATTTATGTTGATCTCTACATTAGTAGTTATTCGCTTATGTTTAGATTGACTTTGCCTAGTTTGAAGCTTGTTGCATAAGGAAAACAAAAAATTCTTCAATTTAGCGCAAATCAGATCAAACGTAAGACTGAATTCATTACTTCACTATGTACTACTTACCAGGGCCTAGGGTATGCGAATTTTTGATATCGATTGTGTGGATTGCATGGCGATACGTGGATTCGTTTAGCGAATTCATCACATTCATTACGCGTTTACAAATACGGAGCAGAGCAGTTTGTTCAGTTGTGATGTGGATGGCAACAAATTGAGATGCATGAAAAAATAATCAAAAGTCGGCATGAGTTTTCATTTAAAACTAGATCGTTTACCATCTGGCTTAGCTAGTGATTTTGTCAGAAATTCTAAATAAGTAGCTTATTAATTTTGTTAAATCATAAAGTAGATTTGAGCTGTGCCCAACGAGATAGTTTTACTTAAAAGTAAATAAATATTTCATCATTCTAGACAAAATTAAAGCGAAACCATTTGAAAACTAAGTTTATGATAAAAATTACTAAATATCAATTAACTGTTAGTTAACTGTTAATTAATGCAGAAAGTTATCTACAAAGAACTACTTATATTGTAAATGATAAAATAATAGTTATTTATTAGTCCAATAATAACACTTAAATAATTCAAAAGAGATCAATAGAACATTATTTAATAGATACTGTGCTTTTAAACATAGTTGCAAGCCAATTTTAAGCCGAGCCGGCTTGAACCCGCAATTCCAATTTTTTATTTAACATAATCGAATTGATTAAAGAACAGGCGAACTTTATGAACTAAGCCTTAGCAAGTTGGTTGCAATAAAAAGTTTTTTGATTTGAAATACCGTTAATATAGAATGTTTATGAATTGAGATAACATTTATCACGTTGTTTGGGGAACAATTGAGTTCCCACACAAAATTCCAGCGAGCTGGACAATAATTCCATTAATATAGAAAGAGAGTTGATTTTATTTTTGATCATCGCAACATGCTAGACTAAAATATTAAAGCAGAGGCTAAAAAAAGGTAAATCGATAGTTAATAATAATTGAACAAATTGCCGCATAGCACAGTGGGCTATAACAGTCGGCACAATCAGCACGAAGCTCAAAAAAAGTCGAGTCAGGACAAAAATAATACGAAAAACAAAAAAACAAAATATATAAATATATAAAAAAATCATTGCGAGCATTGTTCTCGGCGCACATATTATTGTTATTGTTATTGTTTTTTAGACTCGATTGCAGGACTCTATTAACTACAAATCATATCGCTACAAAATTGTCTCGAGCTACACGATATAAATTGTTTTAAGAAATTGTGTGGGAAGTTCACCTTTATGCGAGACACGGCCTCCTCGGCCTGCATCATGCGTGTCGACTTGGTGGGTTGACCCTCGCAAACCAGCTGCGTGGAACCCAAGTATTTTGCCCGAAATAGAACGCCTTCGATGAGCACTGCGCCGCCTGTTGGAGGTTCATTGTTGTTGTTGTTGTTGTTGTTGTTGGTAGAACAGAGAAAATCGATTAATAACTGGGCAAATAATGTAACCAATTTGTATGTGTACTCGTATATTTTGGATATATAGATTTCTGTTGATATATGTTCACATATATTGTACGTGTGAGTGTGTGTATGTGTTTGCTGTTGCACGCAGCAAGGTGTACCAAGCATATGGACGAGAGTTAGGATGCACTTATTCCTCGAGCATTGGAGATTTCGAAAATAAATAAGAAATGTTGTTTGAGTTCGCTTTTCATATACTAACTGAACCTTAACCTTACATTCTTTGCAAAGCAACATATTATTGGAACACTCTTAAAAGTTTGACATTTTGCTCATGATTTCATCACTTTAAATTTGAGTAAGTAGCTGGTATTTCCTGGCCTTGCCTGCTCCACGTATTAAAAAATCTTAAGTTCTATTTTACAGATATTTTAAAATGAGTGTAGGGTCCATCAAATTATAAACCAAAAGTGGGAATCAAAGTTTTTCGCCCGCTCTAAAACCGTTTCTCGTCGTTAAGCCGAAAAATAAACCGTTTTTGCAACCCGCTTTTTCCATCCAAAAGGTTAGGATTGCGCGAAATGTGTGAATCAATTATCAAATGAATGAAACGAAGATCTTGAACAATGAGTAGTAATCCGATCGGAGGGTGCACTAAAAACCTTCATATTTCCCAAAACAGTTTGCAGCTCTGCTTTTAAGCATAGTATTATCAAATACCCTTTGAAATTGTATTCTATAAAATGCATACATTATGTTTGCAATTATTCTTTGCTCCCAGAATCATCTATAAAACCGAAGCGTTCTTATCTGCGAGCGATTACAGCATTAAACAGCCATTGTGATGATAACTCTCGAACGTATGTGGATCTTTGGGTGGGTGTGTCTAAGTGTGTTGTTGTATTATTATTGTTATTGTTAGTTTGGTAAATAGTTACGGCTACATATTGGAATTGTATCTTACAAAGTATTGTACACACACACAGACACAGTAAAATGAACGAACGAACGAACGAGGCATGCAATAAACGCAAATTTGGCAATAAAATATGCGAAAGAATATAGAAAATACATATATAAGTATACAAATATATATATATATATATAAATATAGATACGATTAGCAATTTATTGTTATCAAATACGAATTATCGATTTGCGCCGCAAATCATATACGTACATATGTGTTAGATATGAAAATATGTTTTATACCCTTGCACCGCTCGTAAAACCCTATTCATATCTAATTCTATCAGCTATTACCCGGCTTTGTCAGGACCAAGTGTTATACCATTAATCACAATTATTAGTTTTCGCTCAAGTTACCGATGAGGAGTTTTTCTTACGAAATTTTGCATTGGTTTGTCCTTTTGTGGTCCGGACCAGCCGAATCGGACCAGTATATATCATATGGCTGCCATAGGAATGATCGGTCTAACATTTAATACATTCCATCGTATCATTATTAAAGGACAATATCAAATACCGCTACAGCAAGAATTGGCTAACAATGAGTTTTTTACGAAAAACTTTGCTGTTATATTGAGAAAATGCATTTGAATAAAAACAATTCTAAGGCATGCATGTGTCTGCAAGTGCTTTGTATCAACGAGTATTACTACTAGCTCGGCTTCAACGGCTGCTGAAAGGGTATTCAAGCTTTGGCATGCCAAAGTTAAATTTGTTGTCATATAAATATTTTTTGATTTCTATGTTTGGTTCACGTTGCGGTTGCTCTTTGTCTGCTAGCATCAAAGGGTATGCATTAAAGGGCTGCAGCGAAAAGCAACAGCAACTGACCAGTTTACGATATTGTTTACGATATTGGGGATTATATTGACACTAAAATTGTAACAATTGAACGAAGGATAAACCCAAAGCATTTACCTTCTTTGCTCTTACTCTTTTTCACTTTTTTCTCGCCGCTGTTGCTGTTGCTGCCCGCTGCGCTGCCGCTGCTATTGTTGCTGCCGATGGCAACATTGTTGTTGTTGCCGTTGGTGTTGGTGTTGTTGTTGTTGCCGGTGCTGCCATTGGTGCTGCTGTTGCCGTTGTTGATGACAGCATTGGCCACGCCGCTGGCGACACCCACAATGCCCCCACCATTGATGCCATCATTCTCCACATCCAGCTTGGCGACACCCGGAGCAGAGCGCTCTGAGCCGCCGCCATTGTTGGGACTGCCCAGAGGGGGCAGTGCACCGGCGGCGACCACAGCAGAGGCGACCACATCGGCAGCTGTGGCAGCTGTCATGCCGCAAATATCATGCCCGCTGCTGGACACCTTTGTCGGCGACTTGTGGCTATGCTCCGAGGAGCTGCGCGAGTTGCTGCGCTGCTGCACGCTGCTGACCAAGTCGAGCAGCTTGCCGGCGCCCGAGCCGCTGAGACTGGCCGAGCTCTTGGGTGGAATTGGCGGCGGCAGCTCCGGCGTGGAGCTGAGCAGCGCATTGTAGCCATTGCGTGTCTTGGTGCTGGGCATCTGTTGCTGCTTGGGCGATATTTTGGAGAGCAGCGAGCCGCGCGGCTTTCGATCCCAGCTCTTGTTCTCATCGTAGTAGCCCTGATCGTCCAGGCGCTGGTGGCCCAGCAGACGGTCCGTCTCTAGGTCCGTGTCCACATCCTCCTCGTCGGCGCTGTGGTTCTTCGAGTGGTTATCTGAGCTCGATTCGAGCAGCGCCTTGCCGGCACCTCCATCCAAATGCCGTGACAGCCATACGGGCGAGCTCATCACGGGCGAGGGCGAGCGATGCACCGGCTGCATGTTGCTGCGCTCGGGGATTGGCGGGGGCGCTGGCCCACCACCCAACCCACCGCCGATGCCATTGCTGCTGCAATTGCTGCCCGCGCTGCGCGGCTTTGCGGCGCCGCTGCCGACGCCTATGCAGGCGGTGGGCGAGCTGCGCTGCAACGTCGAGCTGATGGCCGCATTCAGCGGCGTGTGCTTGCTGCCCTGTCCGGTGGTCTGCAGCAGATCAACATCACTGTTGCAGTTGGGCTTGCGATGCGGCGCAGGCGCTGGCGGTGGAGGCGTCATCTGCACCATGTCCGGCCGGTGGAAAACACCTGCGAGGTGCCAAAGAGAATACGAGAAGAGATTAATATTTAGCTTAGACGCATGCCATCGTTTAGGCCATAATTTAATTAAGAACCAGTACAAGTGTAACCGACTACGTAACACTCTAATTACAGTCTATTTACCAAATATATCAGCCGAAAGAGTCTTTTTGAATTTTGGGCTAGTGACATATACATGCATATATCATATTGGGTTGCGCCTGTTCAAAGTCGGCTCATCTTATCTAAATTTGATTTCATTCTATTTTTTTTGATTTGATTAATCGCTACTTACTGATAGAGTAGAGGGAATCCAACTCCGGATCTATGTTCTTGAACACTTTGCTATTGCTGTTGCTGCTGGGGCTCTGGCCGAGCAGTTCGCGTTGCTGTGGCAGCTGCGGCTGCTGCTTATGTAGCCCGTTGCTGGGACTCGTGTGGCTGAGCTGGTGGCCAACTCCGTTGCTTTCGGTGGTGGAGGCCGTCAGGTTGTGCATGCTGTTCAAGCTGTTGTTAGTCGAGATGCGTTTCATGTCCATTAGCATGGAAATGCCGCCACCAATGCTGGTGCTGGCGCTGAGGTTACTCTGGGCCTGGCCCTGTCCCTGACACTGGTTCTGCTTCTGGCTAAGGCCCTGTATCTGGTTCTGGGCGGCCTGGGTGGCCAGCTGCTGAAGGTTCTTGTTGTTGTTATTATTCTCTGTGTCACTGGTGTGGCCCGAGGAGAGGCCATCCTCCAGCACTGGCATGGCCGAGGCATAGTACTTGGCGTAGTTTGAGCAGGAGGTCGATACACCGCCATTCATCTCGCCCGAGAGACCTTCAAAAGAGTCATAATGTTAGTATTGAGCAAATCCCCGGTTAGCCAAATACTTACTGTCCAGATCGCCGCAGTTGGAGTCGTAGTCGGTGGTCTCCGGCGAGTAGCGGTAGTTGTGGCCGCCTGTCAGGCCGCCGCCCACGCCCTGGCCAACGCTCTGGCCAAGGCCGCTGCCGCTGCCGGTGCTCAGCAGCTGGTTGTGATTGAGCCCATCCTGTTCGCCCTCTCGCTCGCCGCTGCTGCGGCTGGCCGAGTCAAGGAAGAAGTCAAAGTCGCGCATTAGTGGACTACCGCTGTAGTGCCGTGGCAGCTGCGCTGGCCGCGACTGAAGCTGCGACTGCAACTGCAGCTGCGGCTGTGTGTAGGCGCCATAGACGTGGCGCTCTGATGCGGGCGGCTGCTGCATCAGTTGCTGTGGCTGCTGTTGCTGTTGTTGCTGCTGATATTCCTGCTCGGCGTGCTCATCTTCATCCTCACCCTCATCATTTTCGTCCTCATCATCCTCCTCCTCCTCCTCATCTAGCTCCTCCTCGTCACGCTCAAAGTTGCTGTGAAACTCGTACTGTATGTCCTGCAAAGATCCGAGGTCAACGGATGTTTAGACTAAGTTGTAATTACAAAGCATTCAGATATTGTTCACACTGAGCTTTGCTCACCCGACTACACAATACCTGGTCCCATTGTCATATACATACATTTAGCTGGTAGAACAGACGGCAAGAAAATTGCACAGGACATATTGTAAATTAAATTCCATTTACAGCGCCCTTTTGATTTAATTTTTATTTTAAAATTGCCAATTTTTATCATCGATTTGGACTTTAGAGACTAAACGGATAAAGACTTCATGTTTAAAATATAGAATTTGTACCATACCACACGGAGATTCCACACTGCGGAAAATTAATACTTGAGTAACAACCATTCTTTTGAAATTCATAAGGGTTTAATAAGGTCTGGTGTGTGTATATATGTACATACCAAAGCGAGCGAATTTACAATCCAATGTTATTTTTCAATCTTGGGGACATGGGGTAATAACGAAAACCTACATACCAAAGTCTGTGTCTTTAGCTTTGATACTATATAAAGGCAATATTCACCGAGATTTGATAGAAGAAACTTTTTCCGAATCGATTTTTTGGAAATGGGAAAAGTTATAAAAATATAACAATTTTAAGCCTTCTGTAGCGTTCTGAATTAAGTTCAATTATTTTTATAATCTGTTATCTGTATAATTGGATCAATGTGTGAAGTTTACTTCAAATTATCGGTAGCTAATTTGTAAACGGGCCACATGCAATCCGATAAAAGTCGATAGCGAAATTCAGTTTTTGGAGCATATCTTTCAGGTTTTAGGAGCTATATTCAAAATTGGTATGTAAACGTCCCATTATACCCTTGTGGAGTGTATTGCAGCTTTGCCATGAAATGTGTAATGCATAGAAGGAGACATCTTCGAAACCAAAACGTATATAATCTCGATGATGGATCGGACCACTGCATCATATAGCTAACATAGAAACGAACGGTTAAATGTTAACTTCTTGTATGTACAACTTTTTTGCTTATCAATATATCTTGACTCAACCCGGCATTTAATATGTTAAACTTTGCTACTTAGGAAGATTCGCTTGAAAAAATCTGTTTTTGTATTGAAAATATTGTATTTACGAGCTTCACTATTACTCAACTATATGTGCGAAGTTGTAAGGTAAATGTCTACCAGTGTGTTTTAGGTAGAAGAATATACAGGGTATCTCCCAGTCGTGAACTTCCGATTAGAGAACGTTTACTCTTTAGTTTAATTTAAATTTAAAAATGTAAATTCAGAAATGGTTTTCAATTGAAATCAACATTCTAAAGCTCTGGTGGAAAATAAATTTGGGGCTCTCTGCACGGGCTCCAGATTGAGCCCGTTTAAGCCCGGTCGTAACCCTTTTACACCCTACGATGGCCAACCACCACATTGTAAGCGAGTTGTTTACTTACAATGCTGTCCACATCGCTGCCATTCTCCATGATGGGCTGCTCATCATTCGAGGGACACTTGAAGAATTCCTCCAGCACTTTGCGCGTCTCCGAGAACTCGTAGAGGTAATCAAAGGTCGAGGATTTGGTGTGCAGGCTCAATGGGCCAGAAGTTAGGGTCGTGCCCGCTGTCGAGGAATTGCCGGCAATTGCTGATGTGTTGGTTGGTGCAGTCGTTGTTTTTCCCGTTGCGGTTGCAACTGTTGTTGTTGCTGCTGCCACTGCTGCTGCTGCTGCTGCTGTGGGTGGCGGTGAAACAGCCGTATAGCTCGTCAACTCGTTGGGCGTGGCCGTAATGGGCGCCTCGGGCGTGGTCAGGTCAGATATGGTGCCAATTTCAGAGACATCATTGCTCGTATCCTCGGCATTGTTGTCGCAGCACGCTGCTTTGTTGTTGTTATTGCTATGGTTACTGCCGTTGTTGAAGTGCAGCGGCAGTTGCTGCTGCTGCTGCTGTTGCTGCTGTTGCTGCTGCGTAGGCGAGCTGCTGCCTAGCTCACGCGGTGGCGAAATTATGCGCTGCGGAAAAGAATGGAAATGGAATTGGAATTAAAGAGCGTGTCCACCTGGTAAAAACAATAGACATGGGCCTGTACCTGTGGAAAGCCGGGGCGCACCGGATACGGCTGCTGTTGTTGCGGTGGCTGACATTGGGCAAGTGCGGCGAGCGCAGCACGTGCTGCCGTCTTTTGCAGCGAGCAAGCCGCAGTCGTGCTGCAACTCATTGGCGGCACTGCGGCCATTGGTGGAGCTGCCGCTGCCACTGTTGCTGTTGCTGCTATTGCGCCAACTGGTGGTTCGCTTTCGTCCGCTGCAGCGGGACTGCTGCTGCTGCTGGCAGCGACGCCAATGCGTCGTGGTGAGCCCTCGTATTCTGTGGGGGTATCAAAATTGGCTGATTGAGAACACCTACGCTTAGGTGCACAGAGCCTGACTCACCTATGATGCCATGTCGCGACTCCACGGCCAGCGTGTAGTTGCGTTCCAGCTGCCAGGCATCCAGCTTGTGCTCTCGATAGACGGCGCCATCGTCGAGCAGGCGACGCGTGTGCGGCTCGAGCATAGCATGCGAACGGCTCTGGCCGCCGCCCATCGACTTGTCAGTGGGTAGCTGCTTGCCGCACTTGCTTTCCTCGGTCGATTCGGTCGTGACGCGCAGATCTGCAAAGGTGCGAGAGTAAGTCGAAATGGGATTGGTTTCGGGTATGTTTCATGTAGCCTTTAGCCAGCTGTCTGACAGACTTGGCATGCCAATTAATTGCAAACAATTAGTTTCCCCTCTGTCTTCCGCTCAGTCTCAAATTTGGCCGGCCTCACCATTGTTGTTGCTGTTGTTGCTGACTTGTTTAATGCGCATTTATATTTGCAGTGCACTTCATTACGCATGATTTGCAATTCAATTACCCGGCCAATGGTCATGGCCATACAATTCAGGCCGGCTGGGTGGCCACATATGACAGGGGGAAGGTTAAAGTGTGAAGGGCGAATGGACAGGCACTCGTCAGCTCAAACCGACACCCAGCCAGACAGCCAGGCAGCTAGCTATCCAAGCAACCCAAACTGAAGGCTCTTCGTACCAACCGTTTGCAACAGACACTTAAAAACCAAATTTGAGCTGCTCTTGTTTGGGTTGGGTGCTTTGTAAATATTTGGACTGGAAGTCAATGCCCAGCCTACAACAAGAAACGGAATAAAATTGATCCCTAAATAAGGCATCCAATTCCAAATAAGCTTCAACCTCATGATATATTGAATAAGTCTAAAGAATACAAGCGAATACAGTCAATCACGATTCTGGCTTAAGTCTTTGACCTTTGGCTTAAGCTACAATCTCTTGATACAATAGATCTATGCACAATTCTATTCGATCTATTCGACAATTAGTCTATACTTATCATTGTCAAGCTAAAGGCTATCTCAAAGTATAATATCATCTTAAGGCTTAAGGTAAGGCAAAAACGGTATTTGAAGCTGAACAAAAGCCGAAACTAAATTCTTACTATACAAAATTTTTACTATAAATAAAAAATAAAAGTTACGACTAAAATCTTAAATGCAATTTAACTAGAACTATGCTCTTAACAATATAAATTGTCTATAAATGGATATACAAATTCCAGTAAAGAAATAAAAAAAAAACAATTTTGAGTATAATACCTATTTTAGAATTTAATAACTCAAGAAGACAAAAGTTGACTTAAGTAATAAACTATTTATTTCTTCTTCTTTTGCTGCAGCTGACGCAATCCTTAAAGCATAAAGACTAGATTCAAATTGTTTTGCACATAAAAAAAGAATTTCTGTGAAATTACCGCACAGTTAAGACATGGCTTATTGGATGCGAGTTAAGGGGTCCTGAATATTTATCTCTATGCAGGCCTTACTGTACTGCTGCCCAACTCCCCCTCTACTTACGCTGCCAGCTCTCCGAGGCATCGGCTAATCCATAGCCGCTGATAGACGACTCATTGACGGAGTTGCTGATTAGCCGTTGATCTCGATCCCGGTCCTCGCTGTTGCCATGTCGCTTTCGCTGCTGCTGTTGCTGCTGCTGCTGATGTTGCTGTGCCGCCGACAGGTGGCTCAGGTGGTTTTCGCGTGCGGCATGTATGTCTTGCAGTTGCAGATGCTGTTGCTGTTCCAGCAGCAGTTGCTCACGATCTCGTTCTCTGTCCCGCTCTCGTTCTCGCTCCCGTTCCCGTTCGCGTTCTTCGCGCAGCCGCTGCTTACGCTGTTCGCGTGGCTCCCAGTCAGTAGCGTGCTGATCCAGTGAAGATTTGCTGCCATACAGGTAGTGGCTAGCCAAAGGGGTGAGCCCCTCGGCACACGGATTGCTGCTGCCCACTATCGGTGGCTGTTGCTGTTGCTGTGCACCACCAGAAGAGTGGTTGCGATTTACTGGGCTGCGACCCACACGCAATACGTGTGGAGTCTGAAGATTCTGTGATTGCGTCTGCGTCGGCCTTTGTGCTATGCTGTACAATTGTGGCGCCAGCTGCTCCCTTTGCTGATGATAGGCTCGTCTCGCTGAGGCGTGCATATGCTGTTGCTCCTGGTGCTGCTGCTGCTCATCGGGGTACTCTGTGGGTGAGTGCAGCAGGGTGCTGGCTCGTGGCGTGGCTGACTCCCAGTAGTTCTCCTTGATGAAAGGATTCTGGCTGTTTTGGGCACTGCCGTTGCCAATATTGTTGCTGCTGTTGCCGTTAAGCAGCGTGTGATGTTGCTGCTGCTGCTGCTGCTGCTGGTGTTGCTGCCTGCCCGCTGATATGGCGCTGTTGCGTTTGCGCGGCATATCCGTATAGCTGTGGCCACGCCTGATATCGCCCGTGTGATAGTAGAAGGATGCTGGATATGCCGTCTGGGGCACCGACTCCTCGATTAGCTCCTGCTGCTCTTGCTGCAAGCCGTCGTCCTCTGCCAACAGAATTGCTTCCACGTCTGTATCGCCGTCCGCTGCAACAGCTGCTCTGGCGCTGTGTGGAGGCGTTGGTGGTGTTGGTGGTGTCAGCGGCGCGCACAGAAACGGATTTGTGGATATGCGCGGCGTGACCGAAGACAACGATTCCGAGGAGTGCGACGAGGCTGAGTGCGGCGGCGGAGATTGCGTTATAATGTTGACGCTTTTATAATAGCTGGACGTACTGATAGGCGTAACAATGGGTGAGCTGCTCCCAGTTGTCTCTGAGACACCAACTGCTGCTGCTGCTGCTGCTGTGATGTTGCTGTTCAGATTCACATCGGCAATGGCTTCATGCTGCTGTCGGCTGCTGTTACTGCTAGGCGACGGCTGTTGCTGTTGCTGCTGCGATTGCTGCTGCTGCGATTGCTGCTGCTTGGGCCGGCACTTGGGAAAGAGCAGATTAATCTGATCGTTGAGAGGTGGTGAAGGCGAGAGCAGCGCTTGCGATAAATTCAGTGGCTGCTGCTGCTGCTGCTGGTAACCGCTGTTGCTGTGGGAGTTGCTGCTGTCGCAGTCGTGCTCCAGACCGTTGAGTGCGTAGTAATTGCGCTGCTGAGCGGCTGCTGCAGCTGTTGCTGCTGCTGCGGATGATTGCAGGCGCTGGTAGCTGCTGTTGCTGCTGCCGTTACTGCTACTGACTGTGCTGTGGTGAGACTGCTGCAGTGGATGCTGCTGCTGCTGCTGCTGCTGCTGCTGCTGCTGGTGATGATGATGGTGATGATGATTACTGCTACTAGTTGTTTGTCCAGCAGCCAATGTTGTCAATGTTGTGCTGACCATTATTGTTGCCAATAAACTGCAAATACAAAACCAACAACAATTTATGAGTTAAGTCTGCAGGCCTAAGAGTCGCTCTGTAATTTTCAATTTATTTTTTAATTAGAACAATAATAAAAACAGTTAGGAATACTATAGTCGGGAGTGCACGACTAGACATCTCGCGCCGAGCTGCTCTTACAAACATTCTAGCTTCAAACTATATAGCTTACCGTGTTTTTATTAACACTGTCTTGAATAGCTTCGTTGATTATTGTCCGATGTGCGTGTAGGATATAACTGTGAAATATTCTTCATCTGTGCATATTATAGAGTTGGTAGATTTCAGAGATCAATGAGTTCATACAGCCGGATAGGCGGCAGGATGCACAGTCGGTCAGGTGGATCGACAGATAAACAGACATGCAGACGGACATGACTAGTGCCTGTTACATACAATTGCGCAAAACAATTTATCATAACTTTTTATCCACCCTTAATGGGCTTAAGGTATGTTAAAGAATTGATCAGATTGACGGATTTTATACTGTGCTTCAAAGGCGCATTGAACAAGCGGTATGAGCCAAGCCAGTGGAATGGGTGGAACAAGTGGAATGCAAAATGCCAAAAGGGGGGCTAGTCGCCGCTTCCTTCTCCTCCTTTTTGTTTACGCTTCACGTCCTGCTGGCAGTTGTTTTAATAAATGCACGCGCAATGTCAACCTTTGTCATGTCCGAGCGGCAACAGGGCGTGACAGTAACGAGTTCTGTCGCGACCGCTGTCGCTGCTGCTGCTGCTGCTGTTGCTGTTGCTGGCGGGACAATGCGGGGTACGTAGCTCACATATATTGGCTGCTGAGACAGCACAAATGGCGGCTGTAAGGCTCTCTCAAATTTAATTGTCTGCAATGCTGAATGAAACAGCCAATCAATGTCATTAAATGACATTTTTTGTGTGTCATTTTGTTGTACTTTATATTTTAAGTGGATGAAATTAGCATAGGTGGATTGCCAATGACAAGCAGTTGAAGTGAACCAAATAATGTTTCACTTATTGACGTGGATTTGTATTTTATATTTTAAGCGGTCGAAATTAGCATAAGACCTTTGCTGAGCGCATGTGAAGAGCAAATGACAAGCTGCTTAAATGAACTAATCAATGTTTCACTCAGTGAGTTGGAAGTGAAATCGATAAATGCCTGCCTGGTGGAAGTGGAACGCATGAGCATGAAGCATTGGTGTATGAAAAAAAATCGTTTTTTTTTAAATATACATTTTTTAAATTTCATGTAAACGAAATGAAAATGCTTTTCGCAGACGGAATACATGTATGTAGAAATTATTTGATGCTGATTCCAGAAAATTTGTGAAATCATCTTATTTTCCAGCCCACTTACAGAATCTAGTTATCTTTTAATCTTGTTGGTTTTCATGTGGAAAACAATCTCTTCCAAGCCGTTTCGCAAGACCCAATACTCTAAAAGTTGCCCTGGATTTAAATTCGAGTCACACCTTTAAGATTAAGCCAACTCCCCCGCCACCAACCACACAATTTGCTTGCGGTTGGCTCGTGCTCCATTTCCGAGTCCCTAGCGTTATGCTAATGCATGCGTCGTACAGTATTTGTGCCTGGAGCTTAAAATATTTTCCCAACAATCAAACTAAAAATTTCGAAAAGGATTAACACAAAAAAAAGGGGGGCAGGGGGAGAGTAACTGCGAAATACCCAACAGGCAACATTGGGCTTACCGGGTGAGATACATATGTGAGCCGGCTTCGACTAAGCCGTATCGTTGTTGCCGCAGTTGTTGTTGTTGTTGTGCGTCTGGAAACGCTTTGTGCACTCATATGGAAAATATGTTTTCGTTTCTGGAATGCCACACACAACAGCAGGAAGCTAGCATCGGGAGGAGCAGTAGGAGCTGGAGGCGCGTCCGGCGAAAGGAGTAAGGACTGTTCGTGTGCGCCGCACGCTTCGTTTGGCATTTGGATACGTTTTTGAGGGGTGCGAGTGGAAATGGGCTGGTGGTGGGGTTGGGGGTTAGGTGGTAAGTTGATGCCCAAAAACCTACACAACAGCTAACAAGGTATAACATCAAGGACATGTACAACCGGAATGGGAGCCAACATTTTGTTAACGGCTCCAACACAAGCACGGCTAGCTGGGCAAACATTTTCATTGCCTGACATTTATGCGCTATGTGTGCTCGTGTCCGTGTCATCCACCCTATTCCGCACCACCTATCCCGCCACCCCACTCTGACGGTAAGCCATCTATCTGCCACTACATTCATCTTCACATTTTCGCATCTTCGTATCTAGACGATGCCTAGCATCGCCTCGCATCTACATCAATCTGTCACTTCAAATCCGTTTTTGTTGTTTCCCTGTTGCTCAACTCTCTCTTCCTTTCCCTCTCTCTCGCTCTCGTTCTCGCTCTATTTCTCTCGCTCTCTGTCTCCCATCGCTTAGCTCGGCCGCCTGTTGCCATTTGGCCATTTTGCCAGGATGTTTTGCCTGTCAGTGTCCTGTGTGTTTGGTGTGTTGCCGAATTTTAGTTCTTTGTCTATCTTAAGAGCCTCTGACAGCCTGTGGACGGATTGCCAGCTGCCTGTGTGTGTGTGTGTGTGATATGCTCCAAGTGTTAGTCTTAACTCTGATTTCTGACTTGACTCATGCCCCAGCTCAGACTTCATCACAGAAGGATCAGAACTTAAACAGACTTTATGATCCGCTTCTTCTAGATACTGATATAAATATGGCGCTAATAATGAAAGAGCACACACACACACACACACATACACACATTCATTGTGTGGCCGCCTAGCTTCCTACCAGCTGCATAATTAAGTTATTATTTCAACACTCACTCTCGGTGCAGCCTGCAGTGGGCGTGTCCTGGGAGGTATATTAACTTAATGCCTGCTTAAGCGACGCAACGCATGGCCCTTTAAATATTTAAAATTCATTTCACTGCAGGCCACTTAAAATCACAGACAACCGCGGCGCAATGAAGCATAAATACCCTTTCATACAAATACAAAGAAAGCATTTAAGATATCAATTGATGTCAGAGCTTAAATACCCTTTCATGCACAGAAAACATTTAAGATATCAATTGATGTGAGAGTGACCCACTTATTCGGGTAACTGAACAAGAAGGATCCGGGCTTAAGTGTCAGGTTAGTGCCGCGATATGGTATTTTCTTAGCTGAAGGCCACAGTAGTCAAGGCTATTTCAAAAGCTTGCTTGATAGCTTAGAATTAAAAAAGATAATAATAATAGAAGTTATAAAAATAAAGAGTCGAATGATATATTAAATATTCAGTTAAGGTGCGTTTTCTCAAGAAATATTCGTAAAGTTAACAAGTTGACAGTTATTTTGACATGACATTTGATTTGCATGTGTTTTCCCATCTTCCTGTCAATAAAACGTAAAATTCTGATTGCGTAAGTTGGCATCTATCCGCTTGTGAAATGCTTAACAGATGGAGGAACTGATTTGTTGATTTTATGAGTTAGCTACGCTAACAAGAAATTAAGTAAATAATAAAAATGTTGCCATATGCATTTTGACTTGGCAGCATGGCAAAGTTATCCTCTTGTCAAATATTGAACAGCAACTACAACTGCTGCTGCCTGCATTTCAGACTGATTAGCGGATACAAATATTATTTATAATTTTGTTTTCTTTAGGCTTGCAAACTCTGTTTGCATACATATGTACATTAATAAAATACGATATTCATATGTTAGCATTTTAGGCAGGCAATTTTTTGCTTTAAAATACCAATAATTAAATACAAATAACGACTCCATTTTCGCAGTTTTATGTGAAACAGATATTGCACAAATTACTGGTTTAAATTATGAATGTTGAAAATCCAATTATACCGAAATTGTTTGCTTAATTTGCGCAAAGTTTTTAAATATACAAATCCGCTCTAATGGCCAGCACGCGTCTACGCAATCTATTATTTTACAATTCATTACAAAATTGAATTGTAAACATCAAAACAGTCATGTCCACTGAGATCCCACCCCGGCTCTCCACATCGGGCTGACGCATCAATCAACAAACTTTGCAAATGCTCAGTCAAAATCATTTCTACTATTGTTGCTCTTTCCAAAACATTGTCTATAATTGCACAAAGGAAAGCTTTTCTGTTTGAATTCATTTAAAAGAAATATATATATTTTTTAATTTGAATAAACTAATCAATCGACTGCGCGCTGCCAAAAAATATAAATACGTAATTATAATAGCAAATTAAATGCAAAATTTATAAGAATTAATAATTTCTTTTGATGAGTTGAGCCGGCAACCTCTCGCTTGTAACTTCGACGCTCAAAAGCCTAGGCTTCCTGATGCCAAGATAGCAGCGTGCAATATATGGCAACATACAAACCTTGACCAAAACCCCGTCATTGTCGACCCGTTTACAGTTGGTCCTGAGCATCGGTCAGTGCTCAGTCATTCAATTAATCTGGCTCGAATCTCTGCCGCTTAAAGTGGCCCATAGAAGTACATGAACATTTTCGTTTATGAAATTGGTTGCAGGCAGCATGAAAGTGTCGCAATAGCCACTGCAGTGTATCCAAATTGATGGCCAGGGCAATGAATCAAAATCAATTGCAACAGCAGTTAGAGCCATGCACCTGACCCCAACGGGGTGCCCACCAACTGCCCACAATGTGCCATGCTGTGCTCTCCAGGGGTGGCTGACGGAGCTGTTGCCGTCATTACGGTCACGTTGCGGCAGGACAACGAGGGTGATGGCGACGGCGGCGCGTGCTGGGGTAGAGGGAATTACGGCCGCCTATGATGACATTAATTATGCAAAAAAAAAGTGTTCAACGTGCGAGCGAAACAGATATATGGGCTATTTGAGCATTTGAGCGAGTGAGATGAGTTAAGTGCGGACTGCTGGTCAAATGCACGCGAGGTTGGCCTGCTAATGCATAGAGCTGGGCGCGTGAGACGATGGATGGGTTCGTGTCACAAGTAAAAGATAACAAGAAAAATATCGCCAACCATTT